TGTGTAGTATCGCATATACAAAAAAAACTTATTTATTAGTAAGTATGTAATAACAATGAATAATATCATAAAATACCGTTGATATATGTGGTCTCCGGTAAGAACCTATGTGACACATTGCAAGTAATACACGATCAATGTAACAAACGGAAACGGGGATAACAAATGGCCTTCACATCATTATCATCAACAGAAATATTCAATATATATCAAATATAATGTTATATGATATATATTGAATTCATTAATTGTGGACTTTCGTTGAGGTGAATACATGTATGTGACTTTATGAACCCGAGAAAGTAATATTAACCGAGACAAAGTCGAGGTTAATATCACATTTTCATGTCCATATTACTCCATATCTACGGAAACAAAACTTCTGAATTGTTATTTTAGATACTAAATAATGTTTGAATCATTTAACAAGATGGAACGTGTGAACATTTTACAGAAAAAAGAACTGCATTTGGCACAGAGCATGGTGACGTATTAATTGAAATGACAACATCAAGTAAATACTAACCTGCTGTTTCTAAAGATGGTAACACAAAGTCAATATCACAAATCACCGACATCCATGTGATTGTGATACAACTTAATATAACTTTGAATGCAGAGAGTAGTAAGTACTAACCTATATGACACGTGAGGGTAATATGCGGTTTATGAAACAAACGGTACTAGGGATTACCATACAGATGCCTCGTGATGGACCTCAATTTGAGAACTGATATATGTAGGTTTCATAACTAGGATGCTCATTCAAATACACGTGTGTATGTTTTCGAATTTGGCTCTTTTCTATTATAGTCAGTTTTTAATTTCATAGATCAATTATGTTTATGATGTTTATTAGGACATGTGAAACTCATTGCGAACTGCTATAAGCCCCACTTTCGATAGTTTTAATTAAATATGTCTGTAAACCTGTCTAAGCGCCGAGTTTTCCGATAACTGAGCCAACGAAAGATCTCGATATATCGGTGATTAAAACAAGAGCTCTGTTTAAGAACGATATGAAAACATATTTTACAGAGAAAGCATTCGATGACATTTTAATAAAGGAGTACGCGATTAAGAAATTAAGACTTTTATTCGAACGGGAGATATCTTTCATATATTAACCCCTTTTCAATCATCAGTGGAACAAGTTCAAGAGATAGAAAATATTAAGATTAAATAAATCTTTGTTTTAAAATTAATAAACATAAATACACATATTTGGTGAAATGCTTTTGGATTTCATGGACCGAAACACGGCTACGTTTATTATAATACAATCTTTACACTACAACTCATTGTTATGTAACTTACATTGAAGGTTTTCCCTCCCTGTTTCCCATTTTGCTTTATATTGTATCACTAAAATAAAATACTGAAGCTCGTTCTAAAAATACAAAATACGTGAAACCCTTCGGTCACGAGCCCGGCGTCCTACCACTAGACTACCGTCCCTCCTTAACCTTCGTCTGTTACATTTGGTAGGGCATGATGCTTCAATCAATATATAGATTTGTACATAACAAATGATGAATACGCTAAAACGGTTGTCGGTACATGAATCATTGAGTCATCGAATAAAAGCATAGATATTAGGACGAGTTGTGTAAACTTCAAATGTGTCGCATCTTTCTTATATGTCTTGAGAGGCTCTGAATATGATTGAAAAAACTGGAGTGTACGAGGAAAAGATGTTTTCAGAATGGTAGACTTAATTTAACAATGTGTATCACTATATACACTAAAGAAAACGTGTTTAGTTTCATATTATTACAAATTATAAATCGTTGTTGCTAGGTGGTCCGAACGGCCGAGTAAGAGAATGCATGTTTGTTAGGATACCGGAATGTTTGAAATCGGCATTTCTATTGTATTGCCCCGGGTTGTCATTATGTCATTTATATAAAAGCTGAAAAAACATTTGTAAAAGTGATATATTTCAGTACTTGGTTTGGAATTCGCAGTATCGTAAAATGAAACTACGTTGACGTAAATGAATGTTGTTGTCAAGGTCGACTTTTCCGATATATCGTTGTGCATTTGTTTGCTTTTATAAGAAGCAATGTTACAGCAAAATTTCAAAAGTTACAGCTTTATGAAGGTAAACAATGAGCATGTTTTTTTTTGTGTTTTTTAAGTGTACACTCTCAAATCTTATGTATGGCAGGTAAGGTTATTTAATATGTTTTCTTTGTATATGAACAAGATATGGTAGACTTAAGCTTACTGATCCTTGCATGAGTGACATTATATAGTTGTACATAATATCAGGACTTAGATCCGTGATAATATACTACAGTATATAAATATAAATCAAATTAAAATGTTTCTTTAAAAGCTATTTTAGTCATTTCAATGATTTTGTACCACTATAGGACAGCGAATACTGTAAATATTCTGTGTTTTTAGAGAAAGAAAAAGTATTTTGGAAACATATTGATTTTCCTTAAAATATTACACATTTTTATCAAGTAAAACAAACGGCAATATACCAGCTAATACGGTTATCTTCTATGACTTTGTGTGTTAATAAAGAAGTGCAATACTGTTAATCTTCACTTTTTTGAAAAAGTGCCTTTTGTTTTTCTGAATTGTCAGCATTTCCTGTATTATCTTGAATGGAAAATAAGTAAAATTCAAGTCGCAATATACAAAACTTAAACTGAAAAAATCAAATTTTACAAAATCTACAAATTGTCATTTTTTTCCTTAAAAAGGTACTTGGTTATCTTCTCTGACTTTGTATGACTTTAAAAGGGGGCATTGATTAAAAAAAAATTGCAAAGAACATGAAACTGTTCGAGATTCCTATCCTATACCCATACATGCATAAGAGAAAAACTCAATCATACTTTCTATATTGGTTCAGGGTCTGGCTCTCTGAAACCCACCCAAGGAACTCACTCCCTTGATCATAATATGGAAAAGGTTGGGATCCGTACCTAATAACCATATATGCAATTGCATTGTATGAACAGATGAATACAGGTATACTCATGTTCATGACTTAATCCAAGATTCATAACATGCTGATGAAAATGGCTGAAATACCAAAGGCAACTCTATAATCATACTAATTACAACCAGATTTGCTTTGTAACATCATTGATACCAGAAAGAATGAGAACAAATTGGGGATCCATTCGCAATGTTACTTTGAATGAGAAAATTGTTTAAATATCAAGGTGAACAATACAGACTATTGTTTCTTTATGCTCCCTCAAAATATATCGGGGAGTACATAGCTGCTATCAATCTGTTTGTCATTCCATCCTAGGTCAAGGTCACATTGAGGTCAAAGGTCACAGGCCACATTTGTTGTCAGAGTCATACATTTTGACCATTGAAGATATGTAGGATGGTAAAGCGGTGAATAGGGTACTACTCTAGGTTCAATACAGCCAGTCATGGTCACATTTTGGTCATAGGTCAAATTTATAATCTGAGCAATAACCTTTGAACCTCTGAGGATATCTTGATAAAATTTAAGGAACAAATATAGGATGATAGGTGATGTGTTGCATATTACTCTAGGGTCAGTACATCCAAGGTCATGATCACATTGATTTTCCAAGGTATAATTCACTGCCTAGGCCAAAAGTTTTGACTAAGGGTAACTCAATGAAATTAAAGGAATAAATGTAGGAAAATATTTGTCCAGGCCATAACTTCTTACTCACTGAAGATATCTCAATGCAATATAAGGGATATACATGTATGTAGGATGGCAGGACAGAGTATTGCAAACACTAATTGGGTCCATATCCCCAAAGTCAAAGTTATTTTCAGGTCCAAGGTTAAATTCATTGTTGGGGGTCATAACTTTAGCTTGCCGAAGATAACTCAATTAAACTTAAGGGAGTATGTAGGATGACAAGGCGGTGTGTGGCAAACACAGTTGGTCCAGAGGCCCAAGATCAAAGTCATGGCCATCATTTCTGAATCTCGGAAGATCACTATAATAAATGAAATTTTAGAATTAAATGTAGGATGGCAAGACAGTGTGTCGCAAATTATAATTGGGTCAGCTGCCCAAAGTCATGATCACATGAAGTTCAAATGTTAAATACATTGTCTGGCCAGTAAACTTCTGACTTGCTGAAGATAGCTCAATGGTTAATTTTACCACTTTGAGTCTGTACCCCTAAGGTCTAGATCAGTCTCGGTGAACTTTTCAGGGAGCATAATCCATCAATTTTACTGATTTTCTTGTTTCCTAAAAAAAAGTAAACTACATTGTGTCATATTATGTCTAGGTAATTTGTTGAAGTAATGTATCTCTTCCTTTTACATGTATTAGGATTCATTGTTAATAAAGTTTGCTTCTAAGGCTTAATCCTGAAGGATACAGTTGCTCTGCTCAGCTGAATATTGTTGTCGCATTTTATGACTTCTTCGGTTATTGCTGTTCAAGGCTCAACAGATACATTCTGGATTTTGACTGAAGATACAGGCCTTCTACACTTCATGTTAAAGGCCTAAGATGAAGCAACAAGTTTTAGTTCTCCTTAGAATTCGTATGGTTTTCTCATAGTGTCGAGTTATAATGATACAGGTATGATAAGTAGGAAGGCTCCTCATTTTAGCAACATTTTAAAAATATATAACTATTAAAATAATCATTACAAAGTATTCTCATTAAAAGTATAATTATGTATTCATGCAAAGACGATCACAGGGAAAGGGCCAGGTAATCCTGGTAGCATATGTGTATCGAAATCTTCATGTTAAGCAACTGTAGATCTCAAATTATTTCTATGTTTTGATATCAGGCTTGTTCACAGGAATGACCTTGCCACACTTTTAAAGTCACAGGGGCAAAATGTGTTTAAACATTAGAACAACTTCTTCTAAATAACCATGAAGCCTAGGAATATGATTAAACCTTTAGCATGCTAGAATGAAGGACTACCAACTTTTCCATATGAATGAGCTTGACGGTCAAGGTCACAAGAGTAAAATGTGTTAAAACTTTTAAAGGGCTATTGACACTCTGGTGGTAATAACGACTACCATTACTAAAACCATGACCGCATAACAGATTTCTATTCGATTCTTGTATAAAAAAGGTGGCATATGTTGTCTACGTGGCTGGACCAATGATTTGTCTGATGTACTTCTGTCCAGTGACCTGAGTGACGTGTTTCCGTCCAGTGACCGGAGTGACGAGTTTCCGTCCAGTGTGTTGTCACCACTTTTGGTAGACAACTGCAACTGTAAAATGATAACCACACAAAATAATGAGATACTAAATTACGATAGCTTCAACATCAAAGCTCTTGCTTCTCTCAAGTATTATGATTATAGTCTATAAGACTCAGGATGAAATCATTCATTACTTAATGAGTTGCCATCCATTTATCTTTGCCAACATCAGAAATATATGATAGAAAGTTATTGATATATCAAGCACAAATATTATAGAACACCTGACATTTACTTCCTAAATTAGAGATACATACAAATTACTTCCAATCACTTTATCTTACAAATCATCGATTATAACACGGTTGATTACAAAAAGGAATGGAGATAACAAAAGTTGTCAGACTGGAACTAATTGAAAATAATTAAAACACTTACATATGATTTTGTAAATTAATATGATTTATGGCTAATTTATGAAAAGACAATGACTAAAATAGAACACTATCGCTTCCATAGGATTGTTCCAAAGTTTTGTGTTGTGAATAGTGTGAATATGCTCTCTTTTTTCAGAGTCATAAAGTGCTGAGTAAGATCACCTGCATCTTCAGAGGTTTCCTTTACATACCCAGAAACGTTCGACGTATCAAACTTATTATTAAAAAGGATATCGTATCACTGGATATATTATGAAGGCATGGTATTGTTTTATGTCTTAATAAGAATTGCATCTATTTTTCCTACATCGATGTCTGTACCATAAAATATATCTAATTATTCTATGAATATATATGTGTTTATTCTTCTACTTTTAGACGGATTATTCAAGTACGTTTAGTGTATACTTATTTTGTATTTAACAATGGTTTCCTAAGTTGTTTTATAAACCAGAAGGCGAAGTAATAGAAAAAGAATTTCTTATAATTTTCGATTTTTTTAATAAATCCTACCTCAAGCTGGTCAACTAATTACCTTGGTGCCGGTATGTATTGCATTTCCAGGCCTTGGAGATCTGTTTTCTTGAGTACGCATCTGTTTTGCACTTAAATTCCGTTTCCACGGCCTTTTTTTTTCTGACAGCAGAAACCTTGTAGTATGAAAATATATATATAGGATCTTAAATGAGTTTTCATTTCATATGAGATTTTATGAAGCGAGTGTTAGGAGTTTTTATTTTTGCGAGCCTTGGCGAGCAAAAATTAAAACTTCGAGACGAGTTTCCTGAAAGCTCATATGAAATGAAAACAAATTTAAGATACTTTTTATCACATAAATTTTACACTTTGACAGGTTTTAAAGCCAAACTATAGAGGGCTTAATCAAACGGAGACAGCCATTTTGTTGCGTCGTTCACAATTTTGGACGTCACGTCATTGTCCATATTATGACGTCACAATTTTCTGACTGGCACAGCCAATGAAAAACGCTCCAGGGTATATTCACTAGTGACATATGTAAAAATAATTCACGGGCGAATTCATTGGATTACAGGCCGATTATGTGATAAACAACAATATGTAATATTAATAGTATATGTAATAAACTATCTCGCTAAATCAATTTACCATTTAAAAACCGTTCATACTTTTAAAATGATTCTACTCGTTATATCTTGTGCACTTCGCTTCACACAAAATTACAAATCATTGTTGAAAAAAAACTATGAAAAAAGAAATTAACTAATTCAAATTAGTAATCTTAATGTCGTGCATCTCTGATTTCGGGATCTAAAATCCACATGTAAGTTATGTGGAACTACTTTGCCAGTCCTGACTCTGTATATAGATAACAAACCGAGATGACTATCTAATTTACAAGATATGTTACGTAAGGTTAGGAGTTAAATTGCCAATATTAAATCATATTCACCCTTCTTGTGTTTGTTGCACCGCTGGCTCGGCACTCACTATCGATACAATCTCCTCGGCTATACTGATCAAGGTAGGGAGACATTTTATCAACAGCATTTCCCCTGTCTATCTCGAATGGAAGAACGTCGGGATCAGAACTCTTTGAGCTGTCACTATTCGGTGATGTGTCAGTGCTGGACGCCGTAGGAAGCGTGTACTCGATGCCACTTTCGTGCATGAAGTGACACACCTGTTTGAATCTGTCGTGACCATGAATCCGTAACGGAAACGACCTCTGGAACTCTTTGTTTTGTACTGAAATCAAAAGGGTTAAAAAAGTAATTAAACGTTTCAAGATTAGGAATTTCAAGAAGCTGTCTTTATTAAAGTGAAAATGTAACAATATGGAAGAATTGATGCTACGAGTTGGAACATACACCGAGCTGCTAGTTAAACACAATAACCGAAAATAGAATGACATAATAAGAAGGTAATCAGTGCACTCGTTCTGTTCACGTGCGTTTTCTTGACCATCGTGGATGCTGTAAAAAAAAAATAAAAAAAAAAAATATACAGCATTCGATATAGCGCCCTATCTAGCAAACATAAGCCAATCTGAAGCGCTTTACAGTAAATAGATATACAATTTATACAATTTTCGAGGAATTCGCAGGAGCTGCATTATCAGGCGCTAACTACTAGTCCTATGCCACCTGGCTAATATCTCCCTATGTGTGTATGCCTGCGTGTGTGCTGGAGATGTATTGTGTTCTGCTTGTAGTGGGACCGTGCTTCCAACGGCATCGTTTATAGTGCCACCTCACTTGAATGCTACATTACAGATACCGCAACACCCACGCCGGACCATTTTATACTCCACCTGGGTTGTTGGAGTTGTGTGGGCAGGAAAAAAACACTTTCTCTGATATTCGTGGCGTGCGACGACTTGGAGGATCGAACCCCGGCCGTCTGCGTGGAAGGCCGAAGTGTTAACTACTTTTTTTTACTAAGTTTTTTTTTTTTTTTTTTAAATAATAGTTCGAGGTTCTTATATACGCTTTATCATAACTTAGTTCGTAGGTCGTCTTAAAGCGGTTCACAAATTATTATCCGTGGTTATAGGGCCTTTGCAACCAGCCAATACCTTTCTCAACTCCCTGGGGAGCATGCAGACAGAGCTGCCATATCCGGGAAATTTACTACTATATAAGCCTTCAGGGGGGAGATGTTCCAATATTTGTCGGCACTGCAATGTCCATGTCGTTCTAAAATACAACATCCTGAATTTTTAACTTAGGGTCCTAAAATCAAGCTGAATCAGACAGCAATATCAGAATATAATTAATTCTTCATTTTATATGGTAAACTATCGGAGAGTTTATCGCTGACCGATAGTCCTCGCAACACACAACATGTGCAAAAATGACTTCATCGCCTCCTATTGGAAATCATGACGGCACAGGGAAAATATTCAACTAATTCCATACTATCAATCGACGACAATTATATAATATGACTTACAACATTTTTGCTATGGTTAAATATATAATGCATTCAGGAGTCCGAATCTCCCTGAAAATGTCACTATATTTAGTAGCGACTATCGTAATTGCAATGCACTTGTTTCCTACCTTTTCGGCTCTTCGAATTTCTTTGCTTCAGCAAGTTCACAAGTTTCTCGTATTTTTCATTCTGGTTCTCTACGATCTGCGTTCCGGTGGCTTTGATAACACTTTCTGTATGTAAGCCGGTTTGTGTCACAATGTCTGTTATCTGCTCTAGATGTTCTCTTCGTTCGCCTTGATCATCCATACGCCATCTCTGTATCATGGCCTGAAACTGATCCACCTTTTCATCAGGAAGTCGTAAAGACTTGAGTTCCTCGCTTTCCCGCCGAACACGTGGATTTTTTAATAATCGTTCAAATGCCCCCGTTAAACAACCCCAATATGTATCGAAGTCCTCATCACTTATTTCAGCAACTGGCTGATGAACGAGAATATTTCTGCATATCTTAATCCGTAACATGTCATCGGCTTCGGTTATAACACTTTCCAACGGGAGTTTATGAAAGTCGGATATTGGCCTAAAATCCATTCCTTCGAACAATATGAAGCACAGTACGGTGATGTCTAAGTCAAATATACTCGGGTGACCACTCTCAGGATAGAGTTTGGCAAACTGGATTTTGCTTAGTAGCTTTTTGTCGCCATTCTTTTTACGAAATCGATTTTCTCTTGATTGCAAATATTTATGAAAGATAGGACCTTCCAATAAAACTTGAATTGAATAACGTAGTTTGCCAATTTCTTGTTCGTTTTTAGACAAATCAAACGCTAAACAACCGATGTCTTTAACTACTAGATCATCTAGGTCATCTAGTGAAGGGACAGGTTGACCTTCTGGAAATACCAATAGGACCATATCAGCATCTAGATGTGCCCGTATTGTTTCCTCATTCCTCCACATCTGATACGTAAACAACTGATCTATAATACACTTTCGTAATGTCTTAGGACCTCGCGTTCCCACGTACATTCCCAGCAACGCATTGTTCATCTGTTCTTTTGAAAACACGCCCATATTGTTCAAAGATTATTTTAGCTGTACTGTGACCTGGAAGACACAAGATACACATATAAATATGTATATAATAAAAACAAACGGATTAAATGTCCATGTGAAGTAAGTAATAAAGAAAAAATAAGATCTAACGACCGACCAAAAACAAGCTGTTTTTACCCTACTCATGGCTATCGTCAAAAATACATGTCATCACACTACAATAGTAACGTGACGTCACAAAAATACACAAGATTGGTAAACAAACTAGCCCAAAATTTCACTGTGGCATGTTGAGGCTTGGTTTTAATATTTTGATTAGTTGGTCTTTTTCCTTTCTCTTAGAATAGTGTCGGATGAAAATAATTGATACAAAGAAAATAACTTAAATTTATTTTCGGTACATTAATCAGTATATTTCTTTACATGTAGACTTCTAAAAAATTCAGTTCTAGTTTGGTGTCTATGTAGAGTCATGCGTGTTCTGAGTTCATTGATAGTTTGACCACATTTAGAACAAATTATTGCATAAACTACGTTTTTTGAATTACAATTCATATTAACCTTCACAGTAAATTTCAAACCATTCTTGAAAATAAAGTATTACATTCCATAATCATAGGACATGTACCACATCTTGGTACAAAAACAAAAGGATGAATCAAAGTTAGTTCCGTTTGTGTCTACTTTTAATCCACGATATTTCCTGTGATAAAGAACAAAGGTGAAGAGTTGAAGCAAAGTAGCAGGCGTATGAGAAACATATTTGTTTCAAATATTTTATTTCCCCCAGCCAAACATTATATATATATAACGTACTGATAAGAAAATACATATAAATATGTTAATAATTTGATAGGAACTACCAGGGTAAGGTAGCCCCGGAGTCAGTCCCCTAAACAATGTTGTGTCCTCACACAGGAAGGCTGTCACTCATTTTTCTCTCGTCCATAAATGCTAACTATATCTAAATTAAAATACTTCAAGTTGATAATAACAATATAACATTCAAGAATTTTATTGTGAAATAAAACATTTGTACATAGAGTATTGGACATCTACAGAACAAGAACATACTACCACATTTAACACGAAGCACACACATTCAGACGTTTTTACATATACACCAATATCATGATCACTAAACATCAAAATAACAACACTTATACACACACATATACATACACATATAAATACGTATATACATACACTCATAAACATACGTACATACATACATACATATGCATGAAGGCGCGCACACATTCACATTCGCATGCACATACATAAACATACATACGTACACATACATGTAAATACATGCATACGTATACAAGACCTTTGTTGCATGTATCCATATACACATCAGCAAAGCAAATACATATAATGTTCATGTACTCTACTAATACGTTTTGTGTTTTGATTTTGCAGAGACAAAATATCAATCAACAAAATGGACACATTGTAGTATACAAATATAAAGAATTCTCAAAATAAATCCTTCCATACCATCTTTGATCAAATATTCCATTGTATACATTTTTTATTGATAATGTTTTTTCAATATTATATCTGGAAATAGTATATATATAATATTGTATTTACAAAATTATACAGTTAATGGGTACAGGAGCATTTTCAGTAACTTCAAAAAGGATTGTTTCTAACTTAAAATCAACGAATATCCTGTTTCTGCTGTACAATCTCTCTTTTAAATCTTGCCATAGCTTTACGAACTGTGGACATTCCCAGAATAGATGTTCTGTAGTTTTGTATTTGTACTTTACAGATATTACAGATATTGTCATTTGACATCCCAATAATATTCAAATAGTTTTTAATTCGCTGGATATTTTATAATCGGTATTGACACCATTGCGGTGTTGTGTCTTTTGTAACTTTAAAGACAGTACTATATAAACTTTTCCAATCTCTGAGAAACATTTTTGACAAACATGCTATTTTACATAGAAGACGCCAACCTAAGAACTTGAAACATATAGTGACATGCTCTAAGTTTGATCGTTCTTGTGTAACACCAAAAGTATCCAAGAGTAAAACACCAAGATGTGGTACATGTCCTATGATTATTGAATATCATACTTTTATTTTCAAGAATAGTTTGAAATTTACCATGAAGGTTAATATGAATTGTAAACTAAAAAACGAAATTTATGCAATTGTTTGTTCTAAATGTGGTGATTTCTTGAATACATATATGTCAATTTGATGCTGACCTATACATTTTATTATCTACTGTAGTTTGTATCATTGTACATTGTACCTCAAAACATGTCAAAAGAACGTTTTATATGAACGACAAAAACTTAACAATGCATTTCAATGTTACTAGCTGTATGTTTTAATATTAATTAATTGGTTTAGTAGGTCAAACTGCCATTTCAGAAGTGAGTTTTCCTTTTTTGTAATTTCGAAACAATATTAACCAATCTTACTTAAAAAATGCAATTGCATTGATTAATGGTTTATGACATTATTTGTTTTTCTATTTTTAGTCTTTGTGTACAGCGAGACGACTAAACAAAGTGACGCTAAGCTATTTATAGTCCCGTTGCCTCGGATAACTTGATGAGTTATTAGCGACCCTTTGTGGCGAGGGTACGATACGTTAACATCCATTTGCGTCTCAATACATAATGCTTCAGGTAAGGAATTACGTAGAAATAGAATTACATTACAACTAGATACACTTTGTATAAAGATAATTATTTTGCATACAATATATCAGACAAGCCCCAGAATGCGCGCGCAGAACACGTAGCTACTGGAGACAAACTATGTTAATATATATATCCATGAAACAAAACCAAAAGAAAAAAATAGTAAATAAATCAGTGTTTTGCTACAGGTTTTATGGTGTACTTTCATCATTCGTTATAACCAAAACATATTCTAAACAAATGATTTATTGGATATTACACTATCGTTACATGAGTGAACAGGTAGAAATCCTACGCTTTGTTTAACTAACTCTAACACTCACCAGCACATGAATATCACATCTTATGTCCGAAGTCAGCCAGTGTGACACCAACTCATTGGATCAGAGCATGTTCTACTTACCTATGTAACAGATTAAACAGAGTTTCTATAAAAAGAGTATTGTCAACTTCCGGCGATACTGCACACTTACACATCATTATATCCTCCACAACAAAGTTTAGTTTGGGGAGTGTAACATCACTGTTCCCAAAACTAGATTGTACCATACTAGCAATTCCAAAACTATTTGTTCATTTCTCATAAATAGATACCATCCACTATTCATCTCCTTTACAAGTTGGTATTTCCGTCGCGTTGTTCTATTAATAGTATTCGAATTACTTTATGGGTCGCATAGGCTCTTGAATAGGTGTTATGGTACCCTAAAAGGGACACTTGTGTATTTTTGATAATGTTTGGGGATAAGCGATCAATATCAGTAGAAGGTTCTACATAGTTCAAATAGAGTAGAGTCAATGGGGGTCAAATTAAATTTCTCTCCAAACCAGCGTTAGTTCTAATACAATTAACTTTTGAAAATGATATCTACACAAATAGTGTTGAATAGTGTTCTTCCTATGCGGCACATCTCATTACAGGTAACATACAGGCTATGAAACTTCAGGCATGTGAGCTTGTAAAAGGTAACACAGTCTTTGCTTTTGTCATATAATATATACCATATATCCTAACCGCCGGGGTAGCGGCAGGAACCCCAACTTTACAATTTGATACCCTCTTTCACAATGAACGATTCTTATAAAGTCTGAAACACAAACAAAATTTGGTGTGATATTGATAAAAAGAACTTAATGCAAGCTGTTCTACCTCTGGCAGGTTTTAATAGGTTTTGTCTTTTTAGATACCTTTACAATGTTTATTGTTTAAAGCGAAAGGTGGATTTTTCCTATTCGCATGTTCACCTAATCAGGTGAAACAAAAATATAAAAACAAAGCGTCAACACACAAATACAAACTCAGATCTCAAAATAATGTAAATAAAATATTGCTCTGACAAATGTTAACAAAAACAAATATACGGGTGATGATGATCAAACGGTTCTTTAATGAGACAAACACAAATGTCACAAGCAAATGTGTGCAAATAAACACAATACTATACAAATATCGATATATCCCGAATTTCGGTATCCTTTATATTTTGATTTTCACACAAATATTTCCTTCATTTCGTCTTCTCCATCGTCGGTATTGATGTCAATATATAAACCTCTGCCTGAGCGTTGAGTTTCCGATAACAGAATTCCCACAATCGGTCCTGATATATCAGCTGGATCACGAGAACTAATAAAGAATGAGATGAGAACATATTTTACAATTAAAACATTTGACCAACAATCTGAAATAGTAAACATCAATTTAGTACTCTTTATATAGGAAATGACATTTATTTTTGATATAATATTTTGTTCGATAAAAAGAAATCATACAATTGTTCACGTCGTGCACGATTCACCTCCCTTGATTATAAATTGATTGTTTGTTTGTCTGTTTGTTTGTTGGATTTTACTTCCTTTTAACAGCTATGGTCATTTAAGGACGTGCCAGGTTTCGGTAGTGGAGGAAAGCCGGAGTTCCCGGAGAAAAACCACCGACCTACGGTCAATACCTGGCGACTGCCCCAAGTAGGCCTCGAGCCCACGACCCAGTTATTGTTATAAGTTTATAATTAATCCATTTGTTTCAAACCATCATTTGTAAAAAATCAAATGGTATAAAACATCGTGAGATTAACTGAAAAGTTCTAGTTATTTTAATATTTCCTAATATCATTTGATTGCTTCAATTATTTAATTATGTACAATGTACCATTGTTACAAGATTCATTACCTTAGTAAACAACGTTCAGACTCTCTCCTTCTGAGGTTGTCTTCGACAATGACTGAACTGTCTTGGTCCATGTCAGGTCCCTTTCCCTAAAATAATTTTGTAAGCAAGTACATGTTTGAATGTTATGTTTCCTGCAATGGTTTAAGACATGCGTAATCAATAAGAATTGATAATTGAAAGAGATGTAAGTTTGTTTATAAATAAAACAATATAATCTTTTAAAGTATTTTTTCCTAAATTCTACTACACTGCATTTTAAGCATGATATACAAACAGTCATCATTTTAATAATATCGTTCCTAAAAATTCTGATTGAGTAATGCTGTGGTTAATATTGTACTTAATACGGCACACATTGTGAATAACAATACGAATACATCAATACAGTACTCATACACACCCCACAAAATATACAATTTCTGAAGCAATTACGAATAGAAAATCCCTTTTTTCTCTTTGGTTTTGAATCCTCTATCAACCTTTCCACTTCGGGAGCATGTGTGTTCGGTCGTAATTCTCTGTTATCAGCTTTTTCTTGATTGTTGAAAGTATCGTTCTGTTGGAGAAAACATATTTTTCTTACTACATTACGTTAGAATAGGTGTTCTTTTTGTGTTATTTAGTGTGTGATAGCTAGGAGTTGGTATTCCCTTTGTGTTATTAAGTTTATTGAAGGCTCAGATTTTCCAATTGAAACAGTTATGTTAGGTAAATTATATTTAGAATGTTTGTGGTTTATCATACGAATTCATTACCTTCTCTAAATACGAACTGTTACTTTTATCTACAACCGTTAGACTTCATAACATTTGAATGTACTTAAATATTTCCTGTCTGTTTCTCCTTTGAATTTACATTGTAATAATTTGTCATGTTAAGTCATAAATCCCATCTCTTCCTTTCAAACCTGAAACGTATGCTCTTACAAATGTTAGCAACACTGGGCAATGTATACATGAAATGTACTTACATCTCTGTCTACGAAAGAACTTGCTGTATTGTCAAATACAGTGTTTTGTAAGCCAGCTATTCCGTATTGGTCTTGGGTTGTGGAGGAGTTCTTATCGAGAGAACTGAAATATCCATTTGAGGCGTAGCCATCGTCTGTTACATTTGGCTTGGTTCGAGGCTTAAATTAACAGATAAATAGCAAATGATGTAGAAAACGAAAACAATTTCCTGCATCATAGATCGTCGANGGTATAATAAGGTAGATTAAGTCGTAGAATTGATTTTTTCGCTCTTAAGTGATTCTCAGTGGTACCTCTATGAAAACAGGCGAAACATTTGAAACAAGTATCAACTTATCATATAGATTTATCATATAATTTCAAATCACATTTCATAGAGATGCCTGTATATTGATCTCTATTCTGTGTACAATTTGCTTTGAAAAATTTAAAGGAGGTTGTTTCTTTCGAGAAATTACGCTGTTTACAAAATAAAATGATATATTTGAGTTCTTACATTTATTGGGTCGTTGAAGATATGTTCGCCTTCCCTTGTCGTCAATTGCGCCCACCGTCCGTGTCTAATAGGTGATGTTTGAAGCACTGGTAGTCTGACTGGCTGGAACAGTAAGGTATCTGATGATGTGTTTCCGTCCACAGAGCTGTTAAGTGTAAGCAGGTCGGTGTAATATCCTGTAGAATCCTCACTGTACATACCACTTTTGTTAGAAGTCAACCGCATCTGTCAAACCAAATAATGAGTTATTCTATTTCATAGAATAATCTGAAGTAATCAGTTATAAGACTGTATAATATCATCAACAATATTGTCCCCCTTGGTGTTAAAATATTCGAAATGACATAAACATACATTTTAAGAAACAATTATTTCATAAATGCTATTATTTTTATATTAGTATGTCTTCCTGAGACATGGAATGAATGATGCATTTCTGGGGTGGGCGTTATGTCATAGATGTTATTGAATATTTCATTCAGAAGACCTCGATGATAGAGGATGTGCTCTTGTGATATATGTCTTTATTAACTTTATAGATTGAGCATATACAAAAACTCATAAATAGAATTCTGGATACTAATATATATCTATTAAAATCCATTATAACAATAAAGGGAGATAATCATTAATTATCTTATGGGTTTATCTCCCTTGCATCATTACCAAATTGAGTATGAACCGAATTGAATCATTTGCAACTAATCTACGCACTACTCTTTTTATCTACCTCTATATACAAATATCTTTTTTTGTTGGAAATATAAATGATTTAATATATATATATATATACATTATCTCCGATTTCCAACAAATGTTTACACCGGTCTTCGTCGTCACCAAGAACATATTCCCCGGATGTTGCGCTGAGGGATGTGTTGTCCTCTTCTTCTTCCACATTCGAAAGGCAGCTGTCTAGATGAGAATTTTTTGTACGTGTCTGTTCTATCGGTTGTACCTGTTTAAAGACTTGTCATATAACTAAATATAAAAGTAGGTTTGAAGATGCTCATAAATATTCTTGTTTATATGGTCATTGCTTTGGATTTATTCTTTGCAAGTACAATTTTGTAAGTACAATTTTGTGACACGTTTATATGTTACATTGTGTGGTTACTAATACAAAGTTCTATTACAATCCGATTAATTGATTGATTAAATCTGATACCTCAACCTTAATCTTCATGATAATAAAACCGTTGGAAGATTGTTGAAACACTGATTTAAATAGACAACTCACATTTCCTAACGACTGTTCCATAGGGTTGTGTTGTGATTTTCCTATACTGGGTTCTGGTGTAATGTGAATACATTCGTCTCGTCTCAGTAGAGACAGAAAGTATCCAGTAGGATCACCAGCATCTTTAGTGGTTTTCTATATATATATACAAACGGATCAAATTGAAAACAATATTAATTCATCAATAGTATATTATACATGTATAGTAGGATGTATTATGAATGCGCATACTTCTTTTAGCTTAAACTTGGTATAGGGTCGATTTGATTTGGTCCCATTAAATATATCCTTTACAGAATGAAACAAAAAGAATGAATCAATTAATATATCAGTTCCTCAATGTTCTACATGATTGTTCAACTATTATATACGATGGA